TGTATGTATGTATGCATGTATTTATTTAGTAAGGTATTCGGCCCCTTTGCAGAATATTATGACCCCCGTATCAACTGGGCTCGAAAGTATGCCTCTGCCCGCGAGGAGGCTTTTGCTGGCCTGTCCCTGGTGGCCGCAGCTCTTTGCACCAGGCAACATAGATTCGAGCGATTCAGGTTTAGCGTTTTGGGTTCAGTCTTTCACATTCTGTAAGTGGGTAGTTTCCAAAAGTCGGGTCCCTTTTTCGGTCCCCAAAATAGTACGGCACTCTTATAAAAAGGACCCTAATTTAGAAAACTACCCAAGTGTGGTTTTTATGAGTCCAGGCCTTCCGGGGCTTGGGTATGTAGAGTTCCAGGGGGCTCCCGGCCCCCTACTCCCAAGTCCCTGCAGCCCCCTAAGTCTTTGTGTCGAGTGCTCCGAGTTATTGATGTAGGGCCATGTTGATAATTCTACGGATCTGGTCTGGGGTTCATGAGCTTTAGTCTTTGGGTGCTTCTTGCCTCTGCCTGGGAGATGTCCATGCCCACGCACAGAAGCACAGTCATGCAGACATGCGCATCCGCATCCTTTCCTGGTCTACCTGGCCGCTGTCCCCGGTGCTTGCATTTCTGCCGCCCTCCTGGTTATTAAGCCCTTCTCCGCCATTTTGCAACCTTCTAGCAAGTGCCGAGAGGCTTCGTCGAAGACCCGGTCGAGCATCGACAGTTCAGGCTCCACCTGAGACCCAGAGTTTACAGCTCAAGGGTTTTCATTATCGGGGGCAGCTGAAGGCCTACCCTATACCCTATACCCTGAACCCCTAAACCCCTATACCCTAAACCCCAAAACCCTATACCCTAAACCCCTAGACCCTAAGCCCCTAAACCCCAAACCCCTAAACCCCTAAACCCTAAACCCTAAAGCCCTAAACCCCTAAAGCCCTAAACCCTGAACCCCTGGATCTGGGGTATAGGCACACAGAGCGCTTTCTTTCCACATGCTTCGGCTTTTCTACCCTAAACCCTATAAGCCCTAAACCCTCAACCCTGAACCCTAAATCTTTGCGGAAGTGCGTGTGGGATCTTGGCATGCAGTCTCTGAGCCGAAATTATCACGACCACTACTCCTTCGGATTCCTGATCATAGTTATAGTTCAAAATTAACCACGACGCTGCCCTATATATATATATATATATAGATATACATCTCTATGTATATATATATATATATATGTAGATATAGGGTTTTGCAGTTTGCACATGACTCGGTTAGGAAATTTGCTTCCCATTCCGCCCACGTTTTATGAGTGCTGCTGCAGGGCTTTGAGCATTTGTGGTTGGGGCCGATTTCGGCTCAAATTCCGTAGTCTGCATACGACCTCCGCCCCTGCTACCAACCAGCGGGCACCGATTCCATACGACACCTCACTCAGAGGTTCTTGGGCGCAACTCCTCGCCCCTCTTCTCATCCAGACCGCCACACCGCGGTCTTTGCTTGACGCTTCCGGACCACTTCGGTCCTTTCCTTGCTCTTCTCCTTCACGATGGTTGCTATGGTCGCAGAGCCCATGGGCAGCCTGCCGGGAACCCCCTTCGAGCCTATGAAGGTGCGGCGGGGAGGGCCACAGCTCATTTGTTCAATGAAGAGATACGAAGAGTGCATCCTAAGGCCTCTAGATTAGGGTTACTTTGGTGAGGCCATGCAGGATTTTCTCCATCAAAACCATGGGAGCTTGTTAGGTGTGTATGGTCATGCAGATCTGGGAAGCAGAGGGCTGCATTTTGTGGAGCTGAGGTTCTTTTGGGTGGTGAAAGCCGAAAGGATGCAGGATCAGAGGCGATGTCGGACTCTAGCAGAGGTTTCGGGCATAAGGGGTTCAGGGTTTTGGGGTTTCGTGGGTTTCAAGGTTTTAGGGTTCAGCGGTCGGTCTGAACCCCTCTGCCTTCGCAGTTTCGGGGATTCCGTGCCCTGTCCGCCGCCAGGTCCAGCCATCCGATATGGTATCCCTGCTGAAGCACCCTGGCACCAAACAGTGGGAAGATTGAGATCGAGAACGAACACTTCGGACGGCATCAAGGATATTGCAACATATCCCAGAAGCATATTCCTCTTTCTGACTCTATATACAATCCGTATAAATCCCTATCCTACTTACAACCCTACAACATACCCCCAAAACCCCTTCTACATACCCCCCAAATTCTGTTTGTGAAGGCCTCTGAGCAATCAACCCCCACACCGCCCCAGGTACCTACTATATGAGGTACTTGAGCCCCTAAGGCCCTATATAGTAGGTACTTGGGGAATCCTAAACCCTGAACCCTAAACAGTAAGCCCTAAACCCTAAACCCTAAACCCTAAACCCTAAACCCTAAACTAAAACCCTAAACTAAAACCCTAAACCCTATATAGTAGGTAACTGGGGGGGGGGGGGTAAGGGAACCACTGGCATCGATCTAGCAACTTTTGGGCTCCTACGCTTGTTCTGACTCTTTGGTAACCACTAGCATGTTTAGGGTTTAGGGTTTAGGTTCTAGGGTGTTAGGGTGTTAGGGGTTTAGGGGGTTTTATTGAAATTTCTAGTTAGATGTATTCCTGCTGCTGCTATGCTCATCTATGAAAAGTCTTGGAGAGGTCATCTCTGAGTTCTTGTTTTGGGACTTCTCTGGCGTTTGAAATTCCTCCACTGCGCCTCTATAGCTCTGAATCCCAAGACTCCACTACCACTCTTCCTGAAGGGTTCCGTTGATTTACTTAGAGTATGCCACGAAAACCCTAAACCCTAAACCCCTAAACCCTGAACCCCTAAACCCTTTAAAACAAAAAGACCTAAACCCTAAACCCTAAACACCAAAAAAGGCCCGTAAACCCCTAAACCCCTAAACCCCTAAACCTCCAATCATTCGAGCACCGAGATGAAGCCCTCCGCTCCAAAATCTAATTAGCCATAGGCCCCATAGTAGTTCCTTTTTGGGGTTCACATTTAGAGTCCTATAAGGTAATCCCAGAAAGGAACTACTATGGGGCCTTTGGGTAAGTCCCAATCCGAGACTTGGAGCCCAGCTGAGGCTCATCCAAGACGCGAACACTTACAGCTTCGACAGCAGCTTGAACAACGTGGCGCGAAGCTCAGACGCCTCTAAGAAAGGTTCGGGATCCAAGTATCTAGCCCATAAGCCCTCAGGTACCTACTGAATAAGAGGTACTAGAGCCCCTAAGGCCCTATATAGTAGGTACTTGGGGAACCCTAAACCCTAAACCCTAAACTAAAACCCTAAACCCTAAACCCTAAACCCTAAACCCTTAAACCCTAAGGTTGGGGTATGCTCCTTTTCCACAGCGACCTGGAGGGTCCCTAGGCTTAGGGTTTAGGGTCTAGGGTTTAGGGGTTTAGGGTATAGGGTTTTGGGGTTTAGGGTATAGGGGGTCCCTAGGCCCTAAAAGTGGGGCTCTGGAGTCAGAACTGCGTAGGTCAGACTTGTCACCAACTTTTCATGATCCCTGCCCCCCCCCGACACCCGGAACCGCGAACTGGCCCTAATGTTGCGTAGCGTAGGGGCCTAAATAGTTACCTATACTTATTTTGGGGGTTCCTTATTATCATGTTAGGAATATGGGCGCCAAGATCTGATTTTGATTATTAATTATCTGTGCTGCAGCACTTCAAGAGCTTGCTCCAGACATGCAAGCCTGAGCCACGGAGCAAACATAAACCAGCTGTAAGCCCTAAACCCTAAACCCTACACCCAAAACCCAAAGCAATATCTCTGTTCTGATACTTCAGGGATCTCAAGACTTCAGAGATGACGAGACTATGTTAGGGTTTAGGGTTTAGGGTGTTGATAGGGTTTAGGGTGTTGATAGGGTAAGGGACTCTTTAGTCCCATAATCCTCCAAGTCCTAGCAGCCCGAATCCAACTACCTCCAACGCTCTAATCCCTTGGCAGTCAGCCCTAAACCCTAAACCCTAACCCCTTGGCAGTCAGCCCTAAAGCTTCGCCCCACGAATACAGAATCCCAAGTCTTCGCCCAGCCGAGCCCTGACCTGAATCCCTAAACCCCAGTTTACCGTCCTCACAACTTTAGAGATAGTTAGATAGATACATAGGTATGGATAAACAGATAGATATACAGTTACATATAGTATAAAGTATGTATACATGTATATCTGCATGTATATTAATGTATTACTGTATGTAATGTAATGTAATGTAATGTAATGTAATGTAATGTAATGTAATGTAATGTAATGTAATGTAATGTAATGTAATGTAATGCAAGGTAATGTAATGTAATGTAATGTAATGTAATGTAATGTAATTTAATGTAATGTAATGTAATGTAGTGTAATGTAATGTAATGTAATGTTATGTTATGTATTGTAATGTATTGTATTGTATTGTATTGTATTGTATTGTATTGTATTGTATTGTATTGTATTGTATTGTATGTATGTATGTATGTGTATGTATGTATGTATGTATCTATGCATGCATGCATGCATGCATGCATGCATGCATGCATGGATGGATGGATGGATGTCTGTATGTATGTATGTATATACACACACACATCCTTGGGTTGTCTGTCTGTCCGTCTGTCTGTTGTCTGTAGG